ATAATTATTATGATCTAATTAATAAAATAGAATCATCTAATATTTATAATTTTATTATTATTATTATTATTTTAAAACAAACTCTTAAATTTTAGTTTGTATATTTAAAATGAATAGGTAAATACTAGTAGGCTATTTTTATTTATATTTAGTAAACTATATATATATATATATGTGACTACCAATGCTGTTTCAATGCTATTTATATAACGGAAAAAAAAATGTGCTACAGATTGCAATTACTACCAAAATAATGTGTAGTTACGTGACTACCAATATAATGTGCTGTGCAAGTTCCGTAAGCATTTACGTGGCAAAGTTACGTGAGCATTTACGTGGCAAGTTACATGGAGGGAGTACGTGGGCATTACAATAAATGAAGTGCACAGAGATAAGGAATGAAGTGCACAGAGATAAGGAATTTGCATAGAGATAAGAATTACCTCATCTGATTACGTATATAGTGGATACATGTAAGAAAAGCTGCAAGTACACTAAATTATTACAGGGAAAAGAATGTTATCCCAAATCAGTGAACTATGTGAGCTCTCATTTACCAATAATAGGATAAGAATGTTATCCTATTATTGGTTAAGGAGAAATATGCTTTTGTTGGTTGGTATTATGATGATACTCATTTATCCTGACTAGTCACTACAAGTATAATTCAAATTTTAATGTTAATTATCATTAATATATTTTTTTAGTATTAATTATTGCTACGCATGTTATGTGATTATAAATATTTATTTGAAAATTGTTCCCACTCCTTATGTTTTCTTGTGTAATATAATCATAAAAATAATTAAATAAATATAGATGGATGTTCCAGCAATTCTAGCTCCTTTTCCTTCAGTAATTTCTGCAATCTTCTTTGGCACAACATGGGGTGTTGATGCTGTAGCCAACTCAGTTACTTTCAATGGAGTAGCTGTGTCTTCATTCACTTTTTCTCCAAATCAAGAAATTTCAACCATGATAGATGGGCCCATAGTTGTTACTTTTTACTTACCTCCAGCAAATCATGTGAATCCTATTGTAAATTTGTTTCAACCACCCATGTAAATATTATAATAGAAGTAGAAAAAAGAAACTATGATGTATAAATAGGCACGTATGGGAAATGTTTTCAATAATATGTAATATATATGTAAAAGTAAGCAACTATGCATGTAGTGATAAATATTTATGGTATGGTATGATGTATAATATTATTTATACTAGGATTCAAAACTTGAATCTGTAATAGCTCGTACTACCCAAATTTATGTTTAGAGGGTGAGAAAGGTGGGAAAAATTTTCAACTAATTAGTTGAGGTTGTTCATATCAAAAAACTATGAGAGTAAGGTTCTCAATAATAATAAATTTACTTTATATATATATATTTTTTATATAATTTCTATCAAATATAGTGAATATAGTCATTATTAAGTTTAATTATCATTGAAGTTTCAATTCTATCCGTTGAATTAATTTTGTACCTATTGTTAGTATCAATGCCACTTTAGTTTCGAATATTTAATGTTAAAATAGTTTTATAGACATGTAATTTTACTTATTTTATTTTTAGTTTTTATAATTTAAAATAGACATTTTAACTTTTATATTTATATTTTTTTAATTATTTTAAATTTCTATAATTAATTTTTTGTATCTTTGTTTTCATATGGATAATGTGGGATTAATTATTAAATACATGTGACAATGATATATTTAATTTTTTTTATGATAATGTTTCATTTAATGGTTTATTATATATGTAATCATTAATAATTTGATCATTATATGAATCACATTCATTAAATCATAGTAATTATTGTATGCCTAACAAGACTTATTATTATTTTTCTCTTAAATCATTAAGTGACACATCATTATCCATAAAATAAAATACATCCCCACCACATGAATTTAATAAGTTTGTGTTATTCATTCAAAAATGACTTTACAAAGAAATTAACGATAAAAATTAAAAATATTAAAAAATATATAAATATAGAGATTAAAAATACCTATTTTAAACTATACAAATTAAAAAATAAAATTAATAAAACTATAAAAATTTAAAAAAATATTTTAACCGATATTTAAAATGTCCGCTATACGTTTTTTTCAAAAAATATTGGTATTATGGTATATATGGTTTGTCTAACTTAATTATCATTATATAGTTCAAATCAACAATGAAGATACTATAATAATTAATACTTTATTTCAATAAATTACACAAGCCATGAATCTAACACAGGCAAAATTAAATACAGACCGTCTCCACAATATCTACATTTTTCTTTGTTCTCTCTTCTAGCATGGGAGTGTCCATGCATTTTTATTTTTATCCTATAGCAAATACATATATGGAGAGAGAAAGTGTGTGTTATAGATTATACACTTATTCATACAATATATATATATAAAAACATATACACAGTTGATCTAAGAGGCCACTGGTGGCGCACTTGAATTCGCTACTACTTCTTGAAACAGCTTCAGTAATTCTTCTCTCTTAGTTACTAGCGCCTGAATCTTGGTCTCTAATTTTTCAAGCTTTTGCTTCAGTTTCGTAGGATCATTTTTATCTTCAGGATTCTTCTCCTTCTTCTCTTTCCCTTTCTTCTTCTCTTTAGATTCTTCTTTTCCATCACCTTCCTCTTTATGCTTCTTTTCCTTCTTATGCTCCTCAGCTTCGCCCTCATGTTTATCTTCTTCAGTTCCTCCCATATTTAAACAAAGGATTGCAGTAGATTATTGTGGTGTTGTTTCCTTTGAAAACAGTAAATTTAATTGTTAAAACCAGTTAGAAAGCTGTCCAAAATATATCTATTTTAATTTCTAACTAACCAAAATACATGTATTTAATTAGTTATTGATATATATATATATATATATATATCAATCACTTTACTCTAAAATCTCGTGTTAACATAACACATTGGTAACTAAATAGAAGAAATTGTTATATATGATCCAAAACTATATTATGATATCGATAATCCACATGAGACATAATTAAGTTTTATTGTTTGTTTCTAGCAAACTAAAATTTCAGGTAGCTACGTTTTACGTTGAAACTGACTATAGACATGTAATAATATTAAACTAAGTAAAAATTTATTCAAAACAGAATGGAGTTCATATTCAACGTTTCACCAAAAATATTCTTCTATGTTGTAACTTGTAAATAAACAATCATTTAAAAATAATAAAAGGGTACAGTCATGTCATTTTACTAATGACTAAATCAGAGATGACTTTCAAAAAGGAGCAATGGTGGGATAAAGTTGAATCAAACAGATGAAAGAACATACTACCTGGAGGTTGTAGTCTCAAATCCTTGGAATGGTCTAAAAATTTGCAAACTCAAATTCTTAATTGTCTGGGCATAGCAGTTTAAGTGCAATACATTTATACCCACAAATTCAAAATTATTCTATGGTTTTAAATTTTACCATTATCTTCGCTTTCCACTTATAGTCACGGGCTCTGAAATATTTACTTTATTTAGCTTTACTAGTTTATATTTGGTTTAGCTTTTTCTGGTTAAGGGAGTTACGTGAAATTCACAGAGGTGATGAGATCGCAGGGGATTTCAAGTTTGAGGGATTAAATTGATAGATTAAGGTGATATTTGAATAAACTTTTCTCGAAATACTTCTAAAAGAGAAAAAAATAAGAAGAAAAAATAAAATAAATTTTTATAAAAATTAAAACTAACTTATAAATAAATTTTTGAAGAAACTATATTGGAAAACTTCTATAATTTATCTTATGTATAGGGTAATTTTAATTTATCAAGGAATTTTATTTATTTTTATTTTTTGTCCTAAAAATGTTTATGAGAAAATCTTAAATCTTTCTTTGGTAGAAAATTGATACATTATATCTAAATTAATAAATTGATTGTGTATACGGAAGTCATTATTTTCATTCTAATTTATTTAATTATTACTATTTTGCTAATCTTCTATTTTATTTTATTTTTTCAAAAACACCCACTACTAGAAAAGTGTCATTTTCCTATAAATTTTTCTACAAAAAAATATTCGCAGAAATTTTTTGCAATAATAATTTTACAATTTTTTTTTACAAATTTATTTGCGAAATATAATTTACAAATATTTCTTTAAAAAAATTATGAAAAATAATCTAGAAGAAGTTTTTGCAAATTTTGCTACAATTTTAATGATCATGCAAATTTTTTTTCTGCCAATTTTAATTTGCAGGAAAAATTAAAAAAAAATTTAAATTTTGAATTTGGTTCTTAAAGTTTAAAATTTTTTATTTTAATCTCTTAAATGTCTTTGTTAACCTAACTAATCCTTTTGATGAGTTGTTATTATACCCTAAAAAATTGAGGAGTTCTGATATTGTTTCTGATATATACCATAAAATAAGTACACGTCAATTAAGAAAGTTACATTAATTTTTTAAATAAATTTTATCTTTTATTTAAATTTTTTATATTAATTATCTTTAGCTCCTTATTTAATATTTTTAAAATAAAAAAATTATTGGATTTTTCATTTGTTGAGGGTGCAGATTTTCAATTGGATTTGTTGAGGATGCAGTTTTCCAATCAAAGGTGTACATGTAGGTTTTCGATTGAAGGGTGTTAGACATTAAGGTAGTGTTTGTTTCCGGTGAACGCTGTTCACGAGCAAAGAAAGGCGTGGATTGTGTGTGTTTGTTTCCCGTGATTTGGAACGAAAGAAAGGCGAAGAAAAGCGAGGAGAAACACTGTTACTCTCCTCGCACAAAAGGGAAGAAAGGAGCTGAAAGCCACGTAGGATTTGTAAAAATCCGAAAATGCCCCTTCCATGCATGTGCCATGCAGCAGAGGATTTACGTTCACGTTCTCCACGGGCTGGTGTTGATTCTCGACGTTGGGTGGCTGGTGGT